AAAAAAAAAAAAAAAAACAAGAAAAGTATAAATCACATGTACTGAATTGTAATACATGTATATGTGTAACACTTATTTGTCACTGCTATTTCTTTTTACGTTCAGAACTTTTTCTTCAATAAATTATCCAATTTATGTTCCTAAAGTTTAATAAAACTTGTAAAAGGAAATGAATCCATCTCTGGTCACAAATCAATTCATTGGTTAAGATATCTAACATTTTCTTCAATGACTTATCCAATATAGCTCCATATCCTATTTCTTCGTGTGTTCAATTCAACTCAAGATCTCTCAGTTACCTAATCTCCATTGGTTAATATATCTCATTTTACTTATTAATATGCTTGTTTGGTGGTTTCGATTAATCATGTTCTTTTCTTTCTGCACATGATTTTTGCAGAATAGGTACAGAGCACGAGAAGTTTGGTTTTGAGTTTAAAACTTTACGTCCGATTACATACAAACAAGTATCAGCTTTACTTAATGCCATTGCTGTGAGATTTGATTGGGATAAAATAATGGAAGGTGACAACATCATAGGACTCAAACAAGTAACTCTTTCATCATTTGATATTCACCGATCTCGAATATTTGCCACTGGAAGGTGTCCATCTTCATATCATTTTTTCGAGGAATCTACATGATTGTTTCGACTTGGTTGTAGTTTCTCGAGTAGGTCCAACACCAATATATATACATTGTTGTAATTTTAGCATAATCTCATCTTTCACAAATTGCTCCATTCATCCAACAAATACATGGAATTAAACATTTTTCATGTGGGCATATGCCCTAAACAAGATGCTTATATTTTGCATGTCCAATTGATCATGACCTTTGAAAAAACATTCACACCAAACGACCTTGATCATCAATCCAATTTATAGCTCTCGAAGACAAAGAGAAAAGCAAAGTGTTTTACAAACTCACCCTTTTTCAACACCCTGATATATATATATATATAGAGAGAAATTTGTTTACTCTAAGAATAAGTTTACCTAGACTTATTTTCTTCAATAATTCATGTTTTACATCAAATTTTAACAACCCAACCATTAAATTTAAAGTTCTTAATGCATATATCAAGTTTGCAAAAAATAATTTTTAATGGGGTTGTAAACTATTTTATTTTAAAAAAACATTGAAAAATTCTTTAAAAGAGGGTCTTTAATCAAAGATAAGTGTGAAGGTCAGTTACTTAAAATGAAAATTTTAACACCTTACAATTTAGAACGTACATTAAAAATAGTACAAGATAAAAATCCTTTGAAATTTATCTTTTCAAATTTTAATTTAAAATTTTCTATAAAATAAAATAAAAATTATCAAATATCTCCCTATCTTTAAAATAAAATAAAGCTTAAATATATTTTTGGTCTCTTAAATTTTAAGTAAATTTAGTTTTAGTCCCTCAAATTTAAAATTGATATTTTTAGTTCATGTAATTTAAAAAAAATCTTATTTTATCCTTTATACTCAAATTTTGTTAAAAATTTTGTCAAATGTTATTGTATAAAATTTAGTTACCGATATTCCTATTAATGAAAATATCACGTTAGACCCTACTAATAGTACATAACTATCTTAATATGTCACTTTCAAATATATTATTGATAATCAGATCGATTAAAATAAATTTTTTGAAATTTACAAGACTAAAAATAAAAATTTTAAATTTGAGGGATAAAAATAAATTTATCCTAAATTTGAGGAACTAAAAACATATTCAAGTCATAAAATAATAATAAATTAAATAAAAATAAATTTTTTTTGGAGTGAAATAAGTATTTATAAAATTATAGAATTTTGCAGAATTAATTAGAGGTATTGTTTTCGATAAGCATCGTGGAATACTAACATATTTCTTACATGTAATTGACTCTTGAACCTATCTTTGATTTCAAAGTCATTTTTAAAGGAATTTTTTAATGCTCTTTTCTTAAAATAAAAAATTGGTGATAATTCCATTGAAAATTAATTTTTGCATTGCGATTGTAGTGACACTAGTTGCAACACATAAAATAAAATAAAAATAAATAAATATCTTCTTGTCTTTAATAATAATAATAATTGAAAATAATTAATATATATAT